AAAGTGTTGTCCCACATACCTTTTTTTCAAAATGAAACATTAAATAAGAACATAAACGCATCACGTCGTTGGAAAAGTGTTCGTTGGTCTTTATTTCGAAAGCCATTTTAAAATGAAAATTGAAAATGCAATACTTGCTTAATAAATCATGCATGCAAAAATAATAATATTTCTCCAATGAAAAATACACAACCTTATTCACAAATTTCGGAAATTACATAGATATGTTGGAAAACGAGCCACTGAGTTTTCGACGAAACTTGACAGGATGGTTGCCACAACAAAGTCGAGGAAACTGGAGTGTTTGTTGGCGAGCAACAAAAGATGGTTGGGACGTCAGAAATTTCCATTCTAGATGCGACAATAAAAAACCGACTTTGTCATTAATAAAAGTTGGTGCTTTCATATTCGGGGGATATGCTACCGAATCATGGAATGGAAATGGTAATGGTAAGTATAATTTTGAGCTTATCACTGCAAGCATATAGAGATTTTATAATAGGAAGTGCTTTTGTATTGTATTTTCAAACGCGTTAATTTGTTTTCACAAAACGAACGAGCGAGTGAGTTTTGCGAAAACAAATTAACAAGTGCGAAAATACAATACAAAAGCACTTCTCATTACTAAATTAAATGGATTGTCTTTATTTAACGTAATTAATTTTATTCAAAAGCCAAAGGCCGTGCAAAGTCAAGATAAAGCACTGCAAAGTGCAAACAAAACTTCATTTTGGCATTGTATATTTTCTTTAAATCACTTGTAAATGACTTTACTCTCAAACTAAATTTGCCATTAATATATAGTCAACAAGGCCTAGAATACTATAACAAACGGTTTTTTTCGTTTAAATAAGAGAAAAATATTAATAATTCGTTTCAAAAACTAAATATAATGCAACTTACATCGCTGTTGTTTTCGTGCAACTGGCATGATATTTTTTGTGTCTCTCCTATTCCTTTTCAAAAAATAGATCCATATTTGTCCTTTGTAGTGTTATAAATCTTTTGCAAACGTACGAGTTAAATCGTCCAATTCAAATTAAAAATTGACTTAAAACAGCAAGAAAAAGATAGCAAACTAAACACAATTCTGCATGCCAAAAACATTGGCGACAGTGACGCTCGTACGTAAGCACGGGCTAGTGCTCATGATTTGACGAAACGTTTTTCGCACGTGTGAAATAATCATTTCGGATTTCTGATTGGTTGACGTTAATCTTGAAAGGGCTTTTCACATTAATAAAACCGTGCGTACATATCACTATCTATAAAATAAAAACAATTTCAATAAGGTCAGCTGCAGCCTTATATACAAAAGGGCTTATGATTGGATAGGTATTTGTTAACGTCGCGAAAGCGATTCATAACACGCTCACACAAATGAAGATAATTACATTATAGTATTAGAATGTAAACAAACTTGTTGTATTACGTGTCTATATACACTGGGTAGGCCTATGTATGATCATATTTCATTTTGTATGCTATAAAGTGAAGTTTACAGTTTCAGTAAGTATTACATTAATGACACCAAATGTCGCCGGTAGATGAGTCGACCCGCGCGTCAGCCCACCCGTGTATAAGCCCATCAAAAAATGCTTGCGAACGAATATAAGCCCAGGGCTTATAATCGGAACTTAACGCTATTAACTAAAGTAAACATGCGCGCACAAGTCCTGAATACGATTCTCTTTTGTTGCAAACAAAGAAATCCGACGCCCATAATCTGTGTTCTGACAGAGAGCACTTCTATACTGTAAATTTTAACAAGTTCACCAATAGGACGTTTGGAATTGAAAAAACTCCTTGAAATTTACAGTATTCCGCCATGGCTAAGCATATAAGAATAAAACAACATGAAAACAGTTACATAGTTTTATTTTCGGTTCGTTCGATGTACCCCCATTTAAAAAACGACACTCAGTTTAAACATGATTAACTATATTAAAACAATACATTTACGTTGTAACAGGTGGTAATGTCAACAAACAAGCTCCAGGGTCATTCATTTTTTCATTGAGAAATAACGAAAATCTCCCTCCATTTAAAGCTCCACTAAGAAACCAAAATGATGGATATGCAGTCAGGGTCTATCCCGATAGTGGACCAATGTTTGGACAAGGTACAGACTTGAGGATACGCGACGATGCTGCTTCCGACGCCCACTCATATGCAAGTTTTGGTCACACCTACCGACCACCACCTGGCATCAGCGACAGGATGACCATCTTGGCAGGAACATACCATTTCGCTCCATCCGAAGTTGAGGTATTTTATCTTGTGTAGAACTATCTCGATAGTCATGCAAACATGCATTAGATAAACGTTCTTTTGATATTATCATAAATGCCTTAGTTTTTAGCAGATTATTTTATTGTTCCAACGTCTGGAGTAAAGTTCAAGCAGTTCAAAACTTTGCCTGCAAATTTATCGGTGAAACAAAGAAATACGATCATGTGACTCCTGTCCTCAAGACCTTAATTTGGCGGCCAGTGAGAGACTTATTATTTTATCGTCGGGCCATCATGACATTCAAATATATGACTGGTTGTGCACCAAGCTATCTGACAAACCAATTTACGACGCGCAGACGTCTCGAAGCGATCCACTAGAAATTCTCGGAAATTTAACATTCCTTTATCTAAAAGTAAGACTGTGCATCGAACATTTAATTATCAGACTGTTAGGGAGCAGTCATTATTAATGCCGGGGGAGGGGAGGTATTTCTAAACTCATGGTAAATTTTTCATGGCCCCCTTTAAATATAATAAATTTTCATACCTCCCCCCCCCCCCCCCCC